CATACGCGGATCACTTACCGATATCGCTTGTTGGGAGCATCATCACATCTCAGATAGGTACAATCGTGCGCATTAGGGTGATCCCCATTAGAACGATTTATCCCTTGCTACCCACGCACATGTGGTCTAACGGTACCACGTGAATGACGGATTGCGGCTGAACGCAACATTCTCAGGCACAATTTCAGGGTCTCGGTATAGAAATTGCCAAACACATCCGCCAAACGCTTTGATCATTCTACAGGTCCCAGCCATTGATCTGAAGATGAAGGTGGTGCTAGCAACGTCTCACAACACGTGTTTATTGCAGCACAGAAAGGACAGCCCAGATTGCCTCTCATGGGGTTGCTACTTTCGGGTCATTGATTTTGACCATTGTGTAGGAAACCGCCCTGCCACGGTTAATGCGACAGGGATCCCCTGCCGGGACATCTAACGCCAACAGTCCAGCCCAATTCACAGGCCTGCGCTCTAGTCCATGAGTGAGGTCACCGAGGTATGAGCGTGCCAGGCCCAGCCAGACATCCATCCCAGATGGTGCGTCTAAAACCCGTCACATCCCGGTGGTATCACTGGATCCCCCAGGCTGGATGCCCTGTATAATGACTGACGCAATGCCCTTGGGCAAAGTCACTACTACCATTTTGAGATACCATTAACTATTCAGTCCAAAAAAAAAAAATTGGTCCAACCGATCAAGCGCGGATGATCTCGGGTCTAACTTCACATCGGATGGGACCAGCAGTCGAGTTATACTGCGTGCTGATATTGACCCTGGGATCCATCAAATTCTAGACGAAATGATCGACGGTGCCTCGATAACTGTCGATGCTCATGTGACACATTCAAATCTTCTGTCCCTTCTCAAGACAGACTAAAGTCCTAGACAGCCACTGTCTAAGCCGTTGGGTGGATATGATTGTTCGCACTAACATTGAACCCTTGCCTCGAGACAAGAAGATCACTAGAGTCACTAATGACGAGGGAAGACGATCCTCTGCGCGACTGTGTGAAATACTCCGAAAGCAAGGGACAGCTGTTCAACGCGAATGCTTCTTTCCCCTCTTGCATTTCCCGTTCAGCTTTTCTGATGTGCTCGCACATTTGCCTTGCTGACATGATTTTGTCCAGCAAACGAACGGCCTTGCTTCAGCATCGGGCTGTTTGTACCACAGCGCTGAAGTCAGATGAATCAACACATCCAAGTTGGGGGAGGTGATGGTTAAAACAAGGGGCTGGAAGTTTGCATCAGATGAATCTACCTCATTATACGGTAGACCTGACCAACAAATTATTTTGCAGACGTGCAGCTCAAGGTTCCTGAGCTAGACGATGACAACCACACCCTCCCAGATCAACCGCATACATTGAGCAATGGCGAGGGTGATCAAGTTTATCATTCTCACCATCATATGTGATGACGAAGATGACTGTTCGATCTGTTTTATAAGATCAGCGGTCGCCTGACCAGCAATAATTTGCCTATTTGTTGACTTGGCATTCCCGCCGGGTGTTTCAATGGATAAATGACCCGAGAAAGGGCAATTGACAATCAGCAAGTCAAAGTTCACAATACCTTTCACGAAGTTCTGAACTACACAGCCTCAGCAGAGGTTTTATTGCCATATTGGGGCTTGCAGCTGCTCGAAGACAGGTTGTTCGCTGAGTCTTTCTCAAACAGCGCAGTTCGGCACCGGAAGCCCAGTCCAGTACTTCATGGTACCAAGCCTCCGAATCACAGGGGGAAAGTCCATAGCGAAATATTGTCTATACCCACAGCCCTTTGCATACCAGGGCTACTGAGCTCTGATGAATGCCAATGCTGGACCGTGCCCCCCACAATGTAGCCTCTGTTGAGATCTGGGCGTGGAAACTCTTGTCTTTGAGGTGTCCGAAAATAGCCATGAGCCTGGCTGGGACTGCTAAGCTCCTAACAGCCATGGGTGAACGGTGAGCATGGCGAGGTGCATCAGAACCCTTTTTCAGTTGCTTGGTGAGTACTGAAGAAATTGATCGGATTTATGTTCTGCAAGCCCAGAATTGTCTGCGCATTGATATTCCCAGCACTGTCACTGCCTGGACTTGTCAGTGAAACTGGGTTACATTTCTCCCGTGAATGCAAGAAGCAAGGATTCATTGCCAATGGGGGCCTTATTTATACCAGGAAAATGGAAACCCATGTGCCGCATTCTTCTCCTCTCTCCATCTTCTCCTCTTCATCTTCATCTCAATCTTCGGATCCCAAAGCGTTGGCATCATCAACAACTTCTGGAGTGGATATCCGATACCTGCCTACCAAGCTCGAGACGACCCGCTAAAGCTAATTTATCGGGCCTCCAAGGAAACAACATTACACGATAGGCAGATCAAAAAGGTGAGATTGGCCTGGACCCTGCAAAAAAGGGCTCAGACTCCACACGGGAGATATTTTTGGACCAACGGCTTTTGGCTTGATAGCTGACTAGTTAGGTTCGTTGAAGTTGAAGCTGAAGCTGGGGCTAATTTGTTTGGCTTGATAGACAGGTCAGCAAATCGTTTTCCAATACTCGCAAACACTATCATACCGTGTTTGTCTCGCTCATCGCTCTGTTCCCGGGGAGTCAATTGCCTACCCCATTTGCCGAGATCATTTCTACTCAATTCATACAAAAGATCTCATCTGTCCCTAGTACACACAACATTCAGTCAGCTATGGAGCCTACCAACGATATCAAGGGCCTCATCCGCCAGTCACCGCCCGTCGATGTGTCCAAGCCCTACGATGCCACAACTCTCAAGGGTAAGACTATTGTCATCACCGGCGGTGCTAATGGTCTTGGTTCTTACATGGTTCGCGAATGGGCATCGCATGGGGCAAATATCATCATCGGCGATGTCGCTGACGCAGCGGGCGAAAAGCTTGTAGCTGAACTTACAACTCAGTATCCGGACTCAGCTTTTGCCTTTCAGCATTGCGACGTCACCGACTGGGAATCACAAGTCGGCCTCTTTGAGACGGCGGTCCACGTCAGCCCTCATGGAGGCATCGATATTGTCGTCCCTAATGCCGGTATCATCCTTCCGGACGTCTCCATTCAGTTCGAGGAGCCTGCTCTCAAGAATGGACGTCTTCCAAAGCCCAACACGTCCCAGTTCGACGTCAACATCACTGGCGCTGCCTATACCACTCACCTCGCCATGTACTGGCTCCCACAGAATGGATCTTCCCCGCGAGATCGTTGCCTGCTTCTCGTCGGCTCGCTTGCGTCTCTTTGCCCTTTCCCAACTCAAACCATGTACACGATGAGCAAGCATGCTATTCTTGGTCTCTTCCGCACTCTTCGTGCTACGTCTTTCCGGAGTGGCGTTCGTGTCAACATGATCACTCCCTACTATGTGTCCAAGTCCAACATGCTCAAGCTCCCCATCGAGGCTGCCTTCCTCTCCGGCACAGCAGGCGGGGCAATGATCGAGGATGTGATTGATGCTGCCACTCGACTCATTGCTGATGAAGAGATTGCAGGTCGTGCACTCTGCGTCGGTCCCAAGCTCAAGTCCGCTGGCGTGGAGGGTGTGGAGGATGTGGATGCTCTCATGACCGTCCAGGACTCTGAGAACAACGGACAAGGGCGTGCTGTATGGGAGTGCTACGCCGATGACTATGACAACGTCGATGCGTTTGTGAAACGCTTTATCTTACTTCTGAACGCCGCTGAAAGAGTCAAGGGGTGGTTTGGTATTTTCACTGACATATGGGGCATGCTGCGACGCAAGTGAGCAGCGGCCAAGGATCGCCAAAGACCCCATTACAGTCGCTTTCGGTGTCAGTTTCATGGGTATTTGAGCAGTCGAATTGTGGTCGGTCTTTGGAGACACGTCATAGTCAAGGGTTGGTTACACACGAAATCATGCATGTAGACTATTGCCAAGTCATGAGGATCGCATGAGATGTGTCGTGCTGGATAACAGGATCATAGGCATGCACACAAATAAAGAGCTGATGACACATTGTTATTATAAGATAGGATCTCGTATATGTGATGAGTTGTGGCATCAATGGGCAAGTAGTTGTTGAACAAGTTGGGGTGATCTGAACACGCGGCTTGTCGCAGCTTCATGCAGTGACTCTTTTCGGGGATGGTGACGCATGGGATGACGGGTGAATGTTGTGTAACATGTCACGATAAATTCGTGGCCAGACTTCACTGCGGCTGCCATGTAAAGTCAAGCTTGGCCAGCAATACTCGAAGACTCGGAGGTTAGTTCACGTGGTGCTGCCACACAGATTCAAGAGGAGTTCCGAGATGCGAGTGAGTCCCAGGGAGTAGAATGCATTGGGCAGAAGTTAAAAGTCACCCTTGCCATATCGGAAGAGAAGCTGGTAAACGCCTGCACTTGCATAGCCTATGTTGCTTCATTCTCGTCGCTAGTAGCATTTCGTATCAATGCAAGGTTGTCCTACCCCATCATACCACAACAGCTTCTCATCCATCTCACCGTAGTTCAAGAAGTAGAAAAACCAGATACCCATATCCAATCCTAAAAGCAGTAAACATGTGCAGAACCTATATCCCAGGTCCGATATCCAACGCCTCTGACGCCGTAATGTGGAATACAATATGGGAATTGTCGATCCCAAAACACCAGTCGCTTAGCCCAAGCATGCGATGCCATGCGATTCGACTCTATTCGATTCGGTGTGATGCGTTATGTCGTCTATACGCGTCGGTCTCGTTTCAATAAAGCGATTCGATTCTGCAGCGAGTCTGAGGCTGGCTCGCAGTCAAATGTCGTTTCGCCGCATGAGACCGCGAAGTCGTTCATGTGGTCCTTCCGAAAGCACCAGATATCTTTTATAGATTTATTTTAGATGGCCGTGATCCGCGTAAAACGTGCTGTATAATGTGAGAGAATTGAGGGGGAAATGCCGAGGCCTAGAAAATTTGAATTGGGAGAAGTGAAAGAATTCCAGTGCTTAGATGCCATCCAGTGGCCATTGTTCTGAAAGCGGTTCATTGAGTTCACAGGATCACACATCGCGGTGAGTCCTTCTTTCGGCGACGTCGTTGACGTCTATGAGAACTCCGGCCGTGATCATACTTGTAGTCGTCATTGGGTCCGTCATTCGCGTGTTGTTCGTCCTCTTTTCGCAACATTTGCCTGCAGAGATCGATAAAGACCTCATCAACGTTGGCTGCATAATCGTTAGTCCAAATGCGGCGAAAGAAGCCACGCGTGGGTGGATGGGCAAACTTACTCCTTGTCCTCGCGCTAGCCTCATAGTAGGGTGCGCCCCATCGTTGTGAGATGGAGAAGCCCTTGGCTCGGGGCACAGCGCGATTCTCCTCCAAATCGGCTTTGTTACCGACAATAACAAGAGGTACATTTTCGTCGTCTTTTATCCGGATGATTTCTTCACGCAAACCTGCCAGTTCACTTAGGGAGGAAGACGATGTGATACTGAACACAAGAAGAAAACCTTGACCGGTTTTCATGTACAGATCCCTCATGGCGACTGTACCAACATCAGTACAAGGGTCGTGCGAAAGTTGTTGAGACATAGAGGACCTACCGAATTGCTCGGTCCCCGCAGTATCGAGGCTAGTAGAGGCCGAGTCAGTGACAGCTCTTCTCCAAACACGGATTGAGTGGTGAGACAATCAAGGTGCAAAAACTTACATTTCGAGAATAACTTGACGTCCCTGAGACAAGCGAGTCAGTCAGAAGGGGTCAGGTAGTGGCATTGTTGCCGTGCGCAATACTTACATCAACCTGAAGCTGCGTGCGATAAGAATCTTCTATGGTGGGATCATAGCTCTCGATCCACTCATTGTGGACGAACTGGGCTGTTCTCGCATGAGCCTTGTGCTACAAAGGGGAAGACAGGGAATCGTGGTAGGATTGCGGATGCAACGGTGGGACGCAGGCGCAGCAACAAGAAGAACATGGGACGAGGGGAAGGTGAAGGTGAAGGCGAAGGCGAAGGCGGCGGCCTTGACCAAGGGAGAGTGACAACTCACCAGTTAAACAACTTTTGCCCACGCCGCCTGTCAAATGATGAACGAGTCAGACAAGCGCACACGTAAGAAAGGGAGAGTCAAAGCGAAAGGGTTGCGTGGTGCGGTGCAGTGTTGGGTATGGACGAACCTGCTCCCAGGACTACCACATGGAGTTCGCGACTGAGTATTGAATTAGCATCAAGTACAACACAGCGTCAGGGATGAATGAGCCAAACCTGGGTTGGTAGTGATAATGTCGTGGCATGATGGCGATAAAGAAAAAGAAAGAAAAAACCACAGGATTTCGTGATGAGCGAGCGTATGCCGACGCAAGGCGAGTGACAAGCAATGTATGCCCCTCAAAAAACTGTATATCAATCAAGCGATAATAAAGATTGGGGTTGCTGATGGTGATGGTGAAACCGAATGACTTCAATGCACAGTCCAAGCGAGGAAAAACGGACACTAATAAGTCTGAGCTCAAGTTGATAAATTGGCGACAAACAGGTGCAGATAGATCGGGGAACTGTTGGTGAGGAAAGGGACACTGAAAAAAGGGCGAGACTGATCGTGGCCGGTTGCGGTTATGTATCTTTCTGGAGCCTCACAGCCTTGAGGTTTGATAGTTGAGCACCCAATCGTATGTTGCGACGTTGAAAGAAACCAGCACGCGCACGCCGAGAGGAGACAAGACACGACACGGGCAGAACCGAGATGTTGAGTCAAGCTCAAAAAGAATAGTGTGAAGACGAGCTTGGGGAGGAGGGAATAAATGAGACCAAGAGGGGAGATAGAGCCAGCTAGACAGATGGATGACACTAGAACCAAATAAAAATGTCCAGGATTTGTGATGCCTGAAATTGAGTTTCCTCGTTTGGTCCCAGGACCGGGAGTCTGGGAAGCGCCCGTGGCGGCTAGCTCGAGATATTTCCTTGGGGAAGCGGAGGACAGCCACTGAAGTCCAAGAAAAGGGTACGTACGTATGCAAGACGTACGTACGGCGCCTCTTTTTTTCTCGCTTGGTTGGGTTGGTACCTGTATTCCCAGGGTGCAAGGGAGATGAGAATGACCGGGGAAAGACGGTGTTTTTTTCCCTTTGGCTTCTGGCTGAATTAAGGCCAAGCACCGCCCCAAGATTTCGAATGCTAAAAAAGAGGATAGTGCTTAACTGTAATGGTTGTCAAGTTTTGGCGTTCTAGAACTGGCTTGAACCGAAAGCAAGATCTTCAAGGCCCGGGACCAGGCTGGATCGGGCTGGACTCGGCTGGACTAGAGCTTGGGATGAATCGAATATGGCTGAGTGGCCCAAGAGATGGCACCCAATTCGAGAATGACGGTAATGATGACGGCAATGAGAGTGATGTAAGTAAAGAGGATTGTTGTTGCTGCGTATGTATTTGTCTGCGTGTTTGTATGTCGGGGGTTGAGAAGTGTATTATACCCGCCGCTGTCTGATAGACCAGTTTAGAAGGCACCTTCTCGACAGTTGCAATCAAGACAGGGCGCCAACGAGGCGACTTATAACTCAATGATGACAGGGAGAGAACGTGGCTAAGACCTGCAAAATGAGAAAAGAGAACGTAGCAACAGGCATCCGTATGTAATCACAATGAGAACTCAGAAGGGGGAAAGTCAAAAGCAAAACTTGGCCAGGGGTCTTTATAAGAAAGATGTCAAGGTGGAGGGGGACTGATCCATCAATGAGAGTCGGAGTAAAGTAGCAATAGGGAGTCAGTAAAAAAAAAGAAGGTTGATGGAGCAATGTATCATCGGCAGACTGTGGCAGCCGGGTACAGGGATAAGCTTGTGAAGGGCAACACGACATAGGAAAGCGACTGGACAGAATGAGAACCACGAGACAACTGGCGAAATTCAGATAGACTGAGTACGATATGGGGCATGAGGCGAAAATCCCCGGGGCAATTCAGCGCCGCAAGGTCATTACCAGACAGTGAATCTCGGGAGCCAGTTATCTTCCAGGGTTGGCAGCTGTCAATCGATGGCAACCAGGAACACGAACAGGAGAAGAATGGAACGAAAAGATTCGGCCAACACGAGCCGAGTTGAGGATCTCTAGCTTGGGTCCGGTATGGAGGGGCTTGTTGGAGAGACCCGGATAGAGAATATGGTTGGCTCATGAGTGAGTTAGCTGATTCCAGGCGACTTTCGCAAAGCCGCCTGGTCCCTGGAAATACTTGCATTGTTCAAGGTCAATAGCCAAATGGCCCGAGTTGAGCTTGAACCAGGCAGTGCTCAACTGCCATTGATGGGCTACGGATAGAAGGGGTAGGGAGGGCACACGCGGATGGAGTGTAAGGTCCCGGTTAATGTTGGTGCAAGGGTGGTGTCGTTTAGTGGTCCACTTGCTGTACCAGTTTCGCAACGTTCCTGAATGTCTCGGATCCAATGATTAACAGCCTTGATGTCAGTGCAGCGACGACGTCAACAACTCTCATATTGCTGACTGAGGGTGCACGACACAGGAGTGAGGGGAGAGGAGATTGAGAGGTCAAGTGGAACACCTTGGGCGAAGAAGCCACCAACCCGAGTTGTGATGAGGCCAGATTTCTTTTTGGCTTCTGTCGGTATCTTCTTCTCTAAGCTTGACTCCAGTAGCTCGGGAGGGCTCCCAATGCCGCAGTTGAAGATGGCTGTCCATTGGTCCCCTACAGTTGGAGCTAGGGGAGGGCTAGGGGTAGCGAAGACGACATGGCGGACGATTTGGGCTTTCGGCAGCCTTGGATTGCAGCTGCAGCGGAGTTGAGGTGGGTCCCTGGGAGGATGACAGCAGACGTACAGCTTGGGGCGTGGATCGGAGACGTCTTAGGCCTCGGCCACAGGCCACAGGGGACGGGGGAGCAGCATATTTCGCCGCGGGAGGGGAGCCTGAAGCCTGAAGGGTCATTGGCAAAGCGCTATGCGAAATACCCGCTTCTAACAACCCAGTGAACCTTGGAACCGGGTCGACCAACAGTTGAATCGACGAGCGGCCGCTTGAGAAAGGTGACCAGGTCTGGAGATACTGAAAGTTGAGATGCGGGATAAAGCCACATCACCAAGGTCAGAGTCTTCTCGAGTGAGGATTCGCTAATTGCTGTGAGCTATCCGTAGGTCAGCGGGAGAGGCTGGCTGCTGGGACCCAGTGTTGAATGTGATCCTTGCTTTGGCTTGGCTTGGCTTACCTTAGGCCCAGGCTTGCTTGACTGCCGGGACCACCAGGAGGAGGGAGGATTGGGGCTGGACTGGAGAGGGCACGCACTGATGTCACCCATCAGAAGTGGTGCTGGGCGATGCAAATCATGATGAGCTGCAATGCAGGCGCAGATGATGCTGATGATGATGATGATGATGATGATACAAGTGGGCGCATTCATTGTCTTAGGTACTGAGTGTTCAGGGTAAATTGAACCTCGACCAGCCGCTAAATTTAGGCTGCGGCCTGATTGTTTGGCAGGTTGCAGGCCGCTGTCAGTGTTGCCACGTGCCTTGCTCGGAACGACGGGCTCTTTCTCTCCCTATTCCCACTGCCATTTCCATGCTAATGATGCCGTCTGTCTCCATATGCACTGATCCTGCCATTTTCAGCACCACTTGGACCCGACGTCATGGAAGCATTATTTTAGTTTGCTTTAGTAGATCAAGTCAATCAACATGAATGGCCACATTTACGAGTGTACCTGAGGTGGGCTTGATCATCTCTCCCGTCCTCTGCAATGTAAGTACCAAAGTAGCCGAGGCCTCTCAGTTGTAACTTATCCACCATTACATTACATCTCCACCACGTCACGGCAGTAAAGAGTGCATTTACGAGTGTGTCGCCTCGTTCTCCCCTACATGCACATCATTCCAGATCATCCTACATATCACAAAGGTACAAAATGATTCCCGAGTCCAGGCCTCGGTCGGGACAAAGGAGATAGCCTATCTATTCGAAGGCGTAAAAAGAAAAGTTAATGAGCCAACAGTTACTATTCACGGCACCGGTCTGTTTGCTCCACTGGTGTGTGCATCCTCGCCGGAATCCCTTTTCCTGCCCTTGCGTTGATGTGAAAACTCTTCACCACTTGCATCTGTGTCGATGCCTGGATGCATGGCCAGATTCACATAAACAGATCTGAGGCATCCATACCCAAGATTATGGAGTAGATCGGTAGTCGAGCCGGGAACATCCCTGAAATAAACGCTCTGTACCTGCACCGGCTACGGCTACGGCTACGGCATCCATGATGAGCTGTTCTGCACGTTGAACCTGCATAGTAACGTCCAAGGTGTCCTTGCATACAGTCATTCGACATGGTCGTATGTATATGCTCGTGTTTCAACAAGATACACATCAGGCCGAGATGTGAATCATTGTTCCCTCTCTTCCCCTTGGGACACCCGTCACCACCTTCGATAGGGGCTGTGGGTGGTATCAAGACAGCCCCATCTGGGCCCTGCGGATCTAGGATCGAATCTAGTGACGTTACAAGCAAGCCACTCGGACCTTTCAGCCCTGTTTAGCTTTTACGCAACGACACGTCAAATATCAGTTCATGGCGCAGCGAAGGGTGAGATCCTCTGAGACTCGGTGTATGTGTGAGAAAAGAAAGGTTTGGCTATATGAAACTGATGTCTCATTCCTAGCCGATGCATTGTTTGCTCCTCTTCTTGTCTCCATTTGCATCACTCTAAGCTGAAGCGCAAAGAGACAACTTCAACTTCGCCTAACGGAAGATACACGTTTGCCGTGTCCACGGAGACGTCAGGTCTGGATCTAGGACGCACGTCGGCCAACTGAACCCAACACAGCGGTAGAGGGCGGGATGATAGACTTTTCTGGCGCTCGACCAGAATTGTAAATCCTCTCCCGTTCCCTTCTATCAAGATCTAGTCCGGATCCAACGGTGGGCTTGCTAAGGCTGAGCCTGATCAAGTGACAAAGGCAAAGTCAATTAAAACATGACAGCCAACAAGAGGCCTTGGCCGGGGTAATCTTTAATTGCCGATCATTTAGAGTTTTGCTCAAATCGGGTCATTTTCCCTCCTCCCCGTTGTAATCTTGGATCTGGCTCCCGTTCCCACTCCCGCTTCTGGCGGCGGAATCACTCCCAGCCAGTAGATGCTCACCAACACTCATCATGTGCCAACATCAGTAATCGACCAAACGCCGCAAAAGGCTATCTGGACTCATCTTTATGTAATTTTATTGATTCATCTCGTCTATCAGCTCGCCACAATGCTCTTGGCTGGATCATTTCTCTGAGGAATGTGCAATTGGGTGGGTGTGAGGCCTCGAGCCTGGGCATTCTTTCTGGGTGCTAACGATGGAGGGCTAAATGTTGACGCCTCTGTAACGTCCTCTAGCGAATATTATGCAGTAGTAGACAATGCGAGGATGCTCAGAATATGCCTGTGATTTATCCTGTCTCAAAAGACTTGATCTTGTCTTGCTACAGACTAGTGCTCATGTGCTACGGTTGAAGTCTGTGCCATACAGGGTAGCTATGTTGTTTTCCTCACCTTTGAACACCAAAATATGCTCTTTAGTCTTTACACATGTCACGGCTGCCTACGGAAGACCTAAAGATTATAAATGGGAATGAATTGAATTCTCGAGCGTGGTCTGAGAATAGGAGACGATGGCTTTCCTTTGCTTGGTGATGTGCCGTACGACAGCTGGCTCCTATTCAATGTGTAGGCAGACGGACACAAGATGAACGAGATATCACATCACACGCCAATGAAACCTGGTCTAATAAAACGAGCCCAATTGTATTTTGAGTAGCTATCGCTTTACATTCAAGAAAATCCTCTTATCAAGAAAAGAAAAAAACCCATGTCCAACGCCATGCCATTGCTGTATCCACAGCCCGAATATCCCTTAAATAAATATTAACAAAAGAAAGGTAAGTAAACTGTGAGCGACAGGTGCGTATCCAGCTGGTCAAGCCTAGTCATCGTTATTGTTGTTGTTCTTCCACTGCACTTTCACCACGCCCATTAGAATTCCCATGATCAACGCAACGAAGAAGATCATCACCGCACAAAGCGCCAAAGCGAGGATCTGTAGTTTTCTCTTCCGTCGAGCTCTCGCCGTAGCCACAGGTCCCATCTTGTATGGTGCATTCAGACTAGAGCCAGCACTGCTGCCTTGCGGGTATGGCCAAGGTGTTGAAGGCGGATACTGAGGCGGAGGCGGGGAGATTGGTGATGGTGGCGCGAGTGGAGAGTATATCGCTGGCGGACGGGACGGATCGTATGGAGGAGGTGGACTTGAGGGTACAGCAGGGGACCATGGCGATGGCGTTGGACTGGAGTATGCGGGAATGCTGGCGCCGAAGTGTGTTGGTGGTGGTGTCGAGTAAGACTGCGGTGATGGTGAGGATGGCGATGCCCCGGGAGTAGCCATGGTTTGAGGTGAGTGATCGCCGGGTCGGTAAGGAGAGTCGTTGGGATATGCGGCGTCAGGAATCGAGTCTGATGGGTGACTTCCATGTCGAGGGTTTGGAGCGTCCATGGTTGAGTATGATTATGATTATGATTTTGTGAGATGTGTTGTATTGTGTTGTGATGAGGTGACCTGAACTGAGGTTGAGAATTATATCGTGATGCCGAATAAATGTCGCAGTCGCACAAACAAACAACGAGTTCCTTCAGATCCGTCAACGTTTCACCAACACCTCATCCAACTATCACAGATGAACTCTTTTCGTTTGTCGTCGCGAAAAAACCAAGTCTGTCAAGCGTGTCGCGCATCCATAATCTCCCGCCCAAGTGTTCGTTTCGTATAAATTTGCCCTGTTTCGACGCCGATGCTCCGTCTCAGAAATCGACACCCCGGATAGTTATCCTCTATTTTGCTTGTCTTTCGGCAAAATGCATTGAAAGTCGAGGATATTGGACAAATAGACCACTCTCGCCTTGTTGTTAGCGAGGCCTGGCGAGATACGAGCGCGATAACTGTTTGTTTGCTACCGGTAAATGAACTGTAACACAGAATATTGAAAGGAACGGGATGAGCACAACAGAAAACGAACAATAGTGAGATTGAGGCAAAAATGGCGTGAGAAAGAGTGAGAGAAAGGGAAAACGGTAAGATAAGAAGCACTGCCCCCTTCTCACGGGCACGGGAGCTATAACAAGGATTGGCACAGGCACAGACGAGAGAGGAGTCTCCCAAGAGCCCTTCAACTGCGGGGGACTTTCCTATTCCTTAACTTCGGGGACCACTCTGTGGGAAATAAGACGAATTAATGGTGTCCTGCACTGCCCCCCATGGCGCCCAGCCCATGACAGGGGATGCGACGACGTGGTATCCGTATCTTGGAGAGAAAAGATAAGAGATGGTCGACTGCTAGAAGCTTGGCTTGAAAGAAATCTCATCATGGAATAAAAAGCCATCTCCTCTGTGAAACTCAGGCCTCGTTCGCGGCCACCAAAGATCTGATGAGGTTCGGTCTGGGCGGCTTTAGAATACGAATATAGCTATCATCACTGTTTACGAGGCCTCTAACCTCAGAAGAGGCACCGTAAACTAGCACCTCTAGTTGCCGATCTGAAACCGGCTCGACCCTTGCAAAATCTCCATCAAGCAAATTCCTCCATGCTAGGATCACCAGGATCGCCCCCATCACCCCGATTAGACTCATAACCTGTTGATCAATCTGAATGGTTCAATTGATGCTAACAACTACCAAGACCAACAACGCGATGACAATGCTATTTTTCATTTTTGCTCAGAGCTGTTACAAATTACACTAATATCGCTATTCTACAAATCAAATCAAATCAACCGTCGCTATTATCCTCCCTCCCTTCACTCCATAACTCCTATTATATCCATATACCCTAGTATGGAGGTTTTGTCACATTGCCCAAACTTCCTTCGCTCGGCCGACTATCGATTCCTCGAAGGAGGTCCTGCAGATCCATGGTCTTTGTGTTCTGTGATCGTACCGACTTGGGCCGAGTTCCATCCCCTCCTCGGCTGGTCAGACTGCGCCGTGCCGATTTATCCTGGAACGATGTCTCAATCGACTGGATGGGACTCCTCTTACCCCCAAGCAAGTTTACGTCTGGCAGTGGTGGCACAGGAGGAACTGACTCGTCCTCGTCCTCATTATCGTCATGTAAATTTGGCGCCGCTCCAAGGGGAGGATGAGCGCTCAGAGGTCCTCTCTTAGACGCCGTGCCAGGGCGCTTGGTGCTTGTTGGGCTACTTGGCTGGTCATTCTGCGTAGCAGGGTTAAAGCTCATCTCTGAAGGGCTGTAATCGTAGCTGACCATGCTGTCTCCGCTGTCATCGTCCCCAATGATGGCTGTTTTAGGCGGAGGGTTGCCTGATAGCACGAGCTTCAGCTGATCCACCGACGCAACGGCACCTCGGTTGCCT